TAGTGCATCAGAGAAAATGAAGAAGAAGAGCTGCTGTGCTGTAGCTTCAAATTTTCGGCATGTCTAGAAAAATTCTTACAAGTATAACACGACGTAGTTGGGCGCCGCGGACAGACGCCGCCGGTGTGCCTACACTCATAGAAAATTAAGTATTTGAATTTTAAAGACGTGCCGCTAGTACACCCCCAAAACAAAATCAAGACTTTGTAAAAGAGCATAATAGGACCCCTTTAATGTTTATCTTATCTTATCAGCACCCCCTTGTGGCCCCCTACAGATCCCTATAATCCCATTTGAAAATGCCTGGATAAAATTGTTCAGTCATATCTTTATTTTTATGAATGGTTTAAGGTTTGGTGCAGGATACTCACCGCTCCATACAGTTCTCCCTTCTTACTGATAGCCAGGTAAAGGTTACTGCCGATACCTCTGATGGCAACGATCCCAACATCCACTGATGTGATCTCCAGAATACCTGAAATACACAACATATGAACTATTAATGAAAGAATATAGAGGCTTTCATTTGAAACAGAGCGAAGCCTGCTTAAAAAGTTTTAAGTACATAATTTTCAATTAATGTTTAGTAATTTTGTTGTGTGCTTTTGTCATCTTTATTAGCTGTTTTGTTAATATTACTATTTAGGTTAAATTTGAACAATTAATAATAGTTTAATTTTAATTTAATTGTAATTAATGAATACTTTTTAATTGTAGTTTTAGTTCAGATTTAGCTAGCAATCCTCAGAGCAACATCTTGAAACCGTGGCAGTGACTTTTGCGTGTGCAAAAACCCCTCACAATTTCTACAGCAAATCATCAAAATTGTCCAGTTGTGCTACAAAAACTCAACAATGAATAGCATTTCTGTGGAACAAAACAAACGTGTGCATGGGTGTGTTTGTGTGCGGAGGTCAGAGGTGAAATTACAGTTTTGGCTGACCTTTGCTCACCTGCACATTTGAATTCAGCTCCTAAAACAGCTCACACACACACACACTCACTCTCACATGGGAGAATGTGATGCCTGGCTATCGGAGCCTGATAACCCCAGCGGTTGCGGGTGTGAACCCTGTGGCTGGACTTGCGGGGGTTTGCTGCGGCTGCCCTTTGATCAGCACAAAAGTGTCGAAAGATGCTTCTACCATGACAGCTAAAGTCGCCACTCAAAACAGTTCTGCTGCCCCCCGGCGAAGAGGAAGATGCGCTGGATGCTTCCTCTGTGCAGCTACTCAGGGATCTGTGTTTGTATTTCTCTCGAAATCCCTCCTGTTCACTGTGGCTGATTTGATAGAGTCTGTGTGGCATTAGGTAAGGTTAAATGTGTGTATGCATGTGATACTGTATATCAGTGAGTGCATCACTATCAGTCAATATTTGTGTTTTTCATAATTATCAGTATCATCATCATCAAAACTTTATTAAGGACACACTTGGTCCAAACAAAGACACAATAATAACTTACAAATACACACACAAGGACAAAATCCACATCCACAAAATCCACATATGAAATAAAAAAAATATATTATTGAATTAATGATTAATGATACATATAATAATTTATAATATTTAATATATAATATTCAGCACACTATTCTGTACACTGTACAATATTTAAAATTAATTCATACACACATATAAATAAATAGTTACTTAAAATACGCTGGAATGAAAGCATGAAAGGAAGGAACAACACAGACAGGATGACAGTGAGACGGATTAGAGAAGCTTCAATGATCAGTGATCAAAGACGAGAGAGACGACAGCAGACTGGAGCTCACTGCAAAAAACTCAATGAAGCTCCCACACACACACACACACATTCATTCAGACCCGAACCACCAACATGTTCATGTGAAACACAAATACAAGGCTGACCTACACGTATGTCCGTCTGCCATATGTTTGTACCACACACATACACATTAACCAGAGTCCCACAGGTAACTCCACGGTAAAGATACACTGCTAGTCAAAAGTGGACTGAAACCATTTTAATCTAAATGTTGATGGGAGGAAATGCTATAAATTGTGAAATTTCTTTACAAAACCGCTTTTTTAAGGATAATTTGGAGCAGATAGCAAAAAAACAACAACAATAGTATCCATCATATCAGTGTTATAATAGTTAACTAAAATAAAAACATATTTGCTACTTGAAATACAATATAAACGTTAACTGAAACGTAATCTATTTCAGCTAGCTGCCTAAGAAACATTACTCAAATTTAAAATATAGTACTAATTTCTACATTGAGCCTCGCTTTGAAGTTCCACGCCAGTGAGGCCACACTTAACTAACCACAAAAGAGAGCTCGGAGAACAAGCCAAGCCATTACAGTAAATGTGTTTGTAATCCCACCTCCATACAAGCCAAACACCTGTGAGAGCGACTGAAATGGAGAAAAACCTCAGCAGATGTCGAGCAGCGCACCAGGAGGTCAAGTTTAAACTGGGTCTATTGGCTGTTTTTTCTTTGCATGCTGCCTTGTTTTCCCGAGCACATCATGCTCTGCTGCATGTTACTAAATGCTGCATCGTTGGCTTGCAGTTGTTTGCGCAGACGTGCATTTTCCACAACGCTCTGCCAAAATCAACTGTTTTTTTTTTTTTGTGCTGGCATTATGTCTGGTGCCTATAAAAGCAAAATAAACAGTTGTAGTTTTTGAAACCGAGGAAAACAGCATTGCGCAAAGCATTGCATCATGCCTAGCTGTCACTGATATCGAGGCGTTTGCGTTCACTTTATTGTGTTGGTGGAGTTGTGAAGCCATCTGTGGCACACATGGCAGCGATCTCGAGCCATACTGGTGGTGGTCTCCCGTACGTCCGGCTCATGCCTGAAGCGTCCTGACTGCTTCCTGCGACAACTACAAAGAGGATGTTTGAAGACATGATAGTGGACTATGGTTCAGACACAACAAATAAATCATTCTGTCATAGCTGATATTTAGTCTTTCCTTGCATATAAAGGAATCAGACTATACACAAATAAGCAAAATAAGTACTTACAGAGTCCAAAAAACACTGTACATGTAAAAAAAAAAAAAAAACATTCTACCTTAGTAAATGTTGGGGAAAAAAACAACAAAAAACATGGTAGTACTGTACATGTTAAAAAATATGAATTACCTTAGTACATGTTGAAAAAAACAACAACAAAAAACATGGTATTACCACTATGATTTACCATAGTATATGCTGGGAAAAACAAACAAAAAACATGGTATTAACACTGTACATGTTAAAAATGTGATTTACCTTAGTATACGTTGGAAAAACAACAACAATAAAAACCATTAGTATTACCACGTTAAACATAATTTAGTATATGTTGAGAAAAAACATGTATATTTTAAAAAACATGGTATTACCACTGTTCATGTTAAAAATATAATTTAGTATATGTTGAGAAAAAACAACAAAAAACATGATATTACCACTGTACACGTTAAAAAACATTGTATTACCACTGTACATGTTAAAAACATGCCATTGCCACTGTACACGTTAAAAAAACATGGTATTACCACTGTATATTTAAAAAAACATGGTATTACCACTGCACATGTTTAAAATATAATTTAGTATATGTTGAGAAAAAAACAACAAAAAACATGGTATTACCACTGTACGTTAAAAACATTCCATTGCCACTGTACACATTAAAAAAACATGGTATTACCACTGTACATGTTAAAAAACACAGTATTGCCACTGTACACGTTAAAAACATGCCATTGCCATTGTACACATTAAAAAACATGGTATTACCATTGTATATTTAAAAAAAACATGGTATTACCACTGTACATGTTTAAAATATAATTAAGTATATGTTGAGAAAAAACTACAAAAAAACATGGTATTACCACTGTACACGTTAAAAACATGCCATTGCCACTGTACACGTTAAAAACATGCCATTGCCATTGTACATGTAAAAAGAAAACATGGTATTACCACTGTATATTTAAAAAAAACGTGGTATTACCACTGTACGTTTAAAATATAATTTAGTATATGTTGAGAAAAAACAACAAAAAACATGGTATTACTACTGTACACATTAAAAAAACATGGTATTACCACTGTACACGTTAAAAACATGCCATTGCCACTGTACACGTTAAAAAAAAACATGGTATTACCACTGTACTTGTTTAAAATATAATTTAGTATTATGTTGAGAAAAAACTACAAAAAACATGGTATTACCACTGTACACGTTAAAAACATGCCATTGCCACTGTACACGTTAAAAAAAAACATGGTATTACCACTGTACTTGTTTAAAATATAATTTAGTATTATGTTGAGAAAAAACTACAAAAAACATGGTATTACCACTGTACATGTTAAAAACATGCCATTGCCACTGTACACATTAAAAAACATGGTATTACCACTGTATATTTAAAAAAACATGGTATTACCACTGTACATGTTTAAAATATAATTAAGTATATGTTGAGAAAAAACAACAAAAAACATGGTATTACCACTGTACATGTCATGAATCAGGCCTCTGTGGCTCTCTCCGACGGCCTCCGGAGGGCACCCTCTCCCGAGTACTAACGTTCAGGGACTACATTTCCCATACACCCCGTACCTGGGACTGATTACTGGCACAGGTGTTTCCCCTTAGCTTCCCTATTTAAGCAGCTCCCAGACTCTCAGTGTTTGCGAAGTCTTATATTGCCCCGGCTACATTTCTGAGCGTTTATCCCCCGTCTTGTCAGCTCTTGTGTATTACCTCGGACTGTTCTTACCTAGTGTGATTCTCTGCCGCCTGCCCCGACCCTCGCTCTGCTACTGTTTATTCTCCTGGATTATCCCTGCTGTTCGTGACGCTGTTGACTGATTACTGCCTGTTTAACTCTGCCTTTGATTCTAATAAAAGCTGCAGATGGATCCGTACGTCTCTGACTCTCCGTTACAGAAGACTTCGCCACACACGGAACCAGCAGCGATCTATCAGCT